GAGGGCGCGGGGGGGGGGGGGGGATTTGGTAAAAGCGTGTTTTCTTAAAATTTAACAAAACTGGACTCTCACGTAAAAGTATTTATTACAGTACGTAGAATTCCTAGGTGCGTTCCTAGATTCCTGTATACACGGCGTGATAATGTCACTCTTAGAAATGTTAATTAAAGAAAAAAATTTACTTTATCACGACATAACAAAGGAATGCTATACGAAAGAGGTAACAACCAGCGGAAAGTTTAGTCGACTCAGGTTAATACGTGTTATCGATCACGTCCAATAAAGCAGCGGTTATAGTAGACCACCCATGTTACGGGTAAGTCCAATACGTCGTCTTGATGTACGACAAGTCGGATCAGGTTTAGCTTTCCTTGGATCAGACGAGGCTTTTCTTGTTGGTTCTGAGTCAAGGGTGAAGCGTGATTTTCGATTTTTAACGGGCGCACAAAATTCCTTGACCTCCCGGGGCGGCGCGAGGGGGAGGGGGAGGGGGAGGGATCCCCCTCCATCGAGTCAATTTTGTACGTTCTGCCCATGCACGTAACTTTTGTATCAAACAAGGACAAGCAGACTTTATCTTTACGAGGGGGATTCACGGAATAAAAGTTTTCTTTTTCTTTCCTTCTTGTTTTATGGACAGCTCACGAGCAAGAGGCTAGTTCTATTCGTTTCTCGATACTCGCCTCTTTGTATGGATGCCTAGGACGGCTTTCTGTGCGATGGGAATTAAAACAATGAATCTGCATAAGTTGTCCTGGATCTGTTTGGGTTAGGTTCCGTAAAATAAGATTATGCTTCCAGGTATCAAATTGGATCATGTGGATAATATGCGGCGTAACAACCCACATTGCAAATTCGACCTTAACCCGGGTTAATCCCTGCGTACGCATTACAACTGTGCGAAGGTTCAAAGGTAACGAAAAGTGGCAAATACTGTTGGGTAGCTCGGGTCGGATTAGGTTTATTGATTCAGAGTACTAAATTCGTTTACGAGTATGATACAATGATATAACCCAACTCCTGAACTTTATCTAATCACTCGACTAATTATAGCTGACGTGCTTCGTGTGTGTGTTACGTACAATTGAACGACACAATTTATTTAATCGGATCGTCCCATAAACAGCGTACGCTAATATTTCGAAATCATCGTTGGTCCATAGATGGGATGCAGACTTTTTTTTTTTTTTAACAAACCTATCATTCCAAGTAGCAGTTTTACATCCGTACAACGTATAGTAATATTAGATACGTCTGCAAGGATATCTATACAACATAGTAATTTGAACGTTGACGTGTTGTGTGTACATCTACGAAATATTCAAAATTCCCGCCAAATGAAATACATCCCAAGCAGCAAGGAATATCAATGAAATATCTTTAAATAGCTGCAAATTTCAAGTAAAGCTGTACCCCATAACGAACATCGCTAAAATATACACAGCATCAGATACCTTCTGGATATCCATATTTCTTTGAATGTATCTAAAAACTTTGGATATGCAAAAGAATACACTTCGTGTATGCTGTATGTGCCATAGATATATTTGAAAATGCCCACTTAGTTTTCAATCGAGTGCTGAAACTTTTGACTTAACCGTCGGTTCGAAAATCACTGTTAAAATTTACTTTTAATGTTTTTGGGACCTTCGTAAGGATAGCAGAGCCCGACGATCGGTTGTCATAAGATCAAATGCATCAACAATTCGCTGATGCTCAAGATGCCTTATTATAGATCACGTGTGATGCAAAACTTATTTCATTTATTTTTTTGAAAAAAAAAAAAAAAAAACTTGCTTCGTTTGTTCATGTGTTATTCATACGTATCTCTATCTCTAACTACCGTAACATAAATAAATACGTACACCTAAAGAAATGCAAAATCTCGTAATTTAAATATCGAATAGGCATGGAAATAATATTTCATTTACTAGATTTACTATCTATTGCTTAGATATTCTACGAGCGTTACCGTGATATCTACTGTTGATGTTGTATGTATTTCATTTGGCGGGAGCTTTGAATAAAACACAGACGTGCACACAACGTCAAGCTTAAAATTAGGGTATTGTATAGGAGATTCTTGCGGATATATATAACATTACTGTAACGTTGTACGAATGTAAAATTGCTACTTGGGATACAACATTAAACAATAGATATTATGATAACGTTCGTAAGATATCTAAGCAATATGTATTCGACGATAGAAACGTCTATGACAAGTGAAATATTATTATTATTTCCATGCCTATTCGATATTTAAATTACGAGATTTTTCGTTTCGTCAAGTGTATCTATTCATTTATATTTCGGAAACTGGAGATAGAGATACGTATAGATAACACATAAATAGACGAAGCAATTTTTCTTTTCCAAAAAAATAAATGAAATAATTTGTGTATTACAAGTGATCTTTAACAAGGCGTTTCAAGTACCAGCGAATTGTTGATGTCGTCACGAAGGTCCTAAAAATATAAAAAGTCAACTTTTAACGATACTTTTCGAGCCGTCGGTTAAGTTTGACGTTCCAGCACTGGATTGAAAACGTGCAACATCCTCGCAATTTTCTTTATTGGATATAACGTTATCCGAACGTTTGCAATTATTTTCAGGTATTTCATACATATTCGTTGCTGCCTGAGATACTTTACTTTCGACGTTCAACCGGGCAAAGATCATCTTGGCATCCCGTAGTGTAAACCACCTTGATACTTCGCTAAAAAAAGAATGCTGGAATTTATGACTCATAGGTAATACAGTTGTTGAGCTTGAATTAAAAAAAAAAAGTTATTCTAGTTAGTACTGCAATAGTATAACAGCTCAGTTGTTTTCTTTTTTAGATACGCTAACCAGTTATAATTAAGTATACTAATCGTAAGTATGCGATAATTTTTTTTATGATTATGATTTTTTTATGATTCACGTCATAAGTATGATAAGTGTCATATGACATGACGAGTCTCGCATAAAAAATATTATGAATAATTAATATTTTTTCAACCACCTGCACCTCTCTAGTATAATTGTTAGGCTCTTATTGTGTGACGTCATTCGTAATGTCTTAATTGAATAATTGAATTTGACAGTTAGAGCAGTGATAGACACGAGAATGACTGTGTAGCTATTAGTGTCATTGATAATTACGCTATCGCGCATGAATGCCAATAATCGCCATAATAACGTTAATGGCTACGTGAACTTCGAGCAACACCGTGACGAAGCATTGTCTCTTCGTCACGGATAAGAATCGCGAATACTGGGTGCCTGGAGCATACGCGTAATTCTCATTAGTTTAACATCCTCGTTGTACAGTTTCTTATCTGGTACGTAACATCCACTGCTATGCAACCACTAACCGCTGTGGTAATAACGGAAAATAGCAGGAATATTTGAAGCAGCATTTCGGATGTTCGTCCTGTAGCTAACTTCCGTACCAAGTTGGTCTGGAGACTGTCTTTCGACATTTCCTGTACACTTCGTTAATGACATGGAAAACTTTCATCCGAATTAAGTGATAAGTTGGAAGCGGCTTTTTGCTGATAATTTTTTCGGCCTAAAAATGACAATAGTAACGAGACGCAGAATTGCGCAAATTGTCAGCTATTTTTACGAGTGGGATATATACAGTACAGACTACTACCCTACCGCGCGCGCCAACCAATTGTCCCCCGAGCGGCTCGAGCGAAACTCGCAAAATTTAGGCGTTTTTTCAAACGGATAATTTAACCCCTTAGCGTACTCGTATTTGGATGCTTGAAAGCGCGTTTTAATCGTTGAAATGTCAGCTACAACGTGGGTAAATGTGAAACTTCTATTTCATCATTTACTAATGAAAAATGGCGGGGAAGCTTCGGGTGCGCTTGCGAAATCTCGAGATCTCCGTCGCGGGATCATTCCCGAGAAGAATAATTTTGTGAGAATCTGCAGTGTCATTAAAGATGATATTACACAGAAACTGGACCAGATTGGCCGACGCGTTCGGAAGTTATGGCCATTTAAGTGTTTTCACTTCAAGGGGGTGTAACTCCTCCTAGAGTGATCCTACAGGGGTTCCACGGGGGTGTTTTTTTAATGCCGAAGGATGCTCTCTCTCGTGCCATAATTAGAAATATGAATGTCCTTCCGGAACTACTAGATCTCGAACTTTTCAAAAAGTTCCAGAATTCACTTTTTCACTCCAACCCCTGCCATTCGGCCATTTTGGATCCGATCGGGATAAAACCTTTGCCATTCGAACGGGAAGGAAATTTCCTAAAAAATATGTCTTTGGTTTTTCGAAATCTGTCATACTTTCACAGAAATGTAAAAAAATTCAAGTTTTGCACTTCAATTGGACGTTACTGTATGTATAATTTTATGAAATAAACATATGAGATTTTTTTTATAACGTTTCCCAAGATTTACAAACGTGTTATTCGAAATTTTTGTGCTGTTAGAAATACCATTGTAAAGCAGTATACTTGGAAGTTTATTATCGCAAGAAAAATTAATGAGATATCTTATGGTCATTGGCCTTAAGCAAGTATAGACGACTTTCAGCAGGTTTCATGTTTATTTGGCTACGTGTATTCTACACGATTTTATTTTAATGCGAACCCACAGTACGTATCCTTCACGATATGGCCATTCGTATGCGGAAAATAATTGTTACAAATTAATCAAAATATGTGCATTGAATATCGTCGATTAATTAATTTAATAAGAAGTAGTAGTAGTGCGTTTATTGACAATGCAGAACATGGGACAGATTTACATTCTTAACAGAGCATCATATTACATAAATATTTTTCACATTTTGTTTGGTTGTCAATTGGCCATCGGCCAAAGTCCTTCAGCTGGATTGTCCTTTTTTGCGTGTCTACTACTTTTTTTTATATATATATAATTTGAGTATTTATTTGATTACCGGTGATCGTTGTTCATTCATGCGAGGTGGTAGGTAATATGTCGTGTGTGCGGGGTGTTTATGTTTACGCGTTTCGTTTTGATCGGATTAAGTGTTATATTCCAATAATTTAATGTAGTGGTTACAAAATACATGGATATAAAATTTATTATATGCGATTTGAATTGTTTACTATTCTTGTGTTTTTCAAATATTTTATTAAACTGTACTCCTTACATGAATTTTATGTCATGCAATTAATTCAAGTAAAGTATACATATATGTAAACGTTTGCAAAGTAAGTCATCGTCGTAATGTGTAGTACAATATTCATATACTTTCTATTTTCATAATAATTACTCTGGTATATATGAGTAGATAGTTAATAATTCATCATCGATTCATATGTCGGTTCTAGAATCATTTAATAAACTTTGCAAGCTATTTCCGTTTGTTAAATTTATATCTCATTTGATACAAGTGCTATTATGTATTGCATCATATAGCTTAAATGATGCAAAATAATACATAATAACAATGTAAGTTTATTATTTTATAGAAAGCATTCGTTAAAGGCATTAACGAATATAACAAAAATTACGCAATCATACGATAAACGCTTGAATTTTTAATTTTAAGATATAGGTCAGATTCTCTATTTTTATAAATTATTTTTTACACATGCTTCGATAAAAGTTTAATCATATCTTATTATTTATAATTCACATTGCACATATATATATATATATATATATATATACACTGTGACGTCAATTTCACGATCGAGCCTCGTCGGGAGATGAGAGACTGCGCAACTTACGCGATTCCTTCGCGTTCCAGGCAACCCAGGGCTAACACATACAATTCAAAATAATACCTCTGGTATCGTTGGGCGCCAGGTTCCAAAACGGAAACCACGTATCAACTTCTACGGTTCGTCTTCGCGTGCCTACGTTGGCTAACTCAGCTATGCGGAGGCGGCGTGGATCTTTAAGAGTAAGGACAACTTCAACAAAATGAATACTCCGGCTTTTTGGATCAATAATAACAAAATCGATCGTTTATTGTGCGCCACTTTCGGACGTGACCACGCGGATATAAGAAAATCCAAATTTGACAATTTCGAAATAAATAATGGACCCAATAAGATCGCGACTAAAACAACAACGAATGACAATATCAGTTTCAGCTTAAGTCCTAATCCGAATTTCTACGTACAAAGTTCGCGATCTATTCCGCGCAGTCTAACTCTTACAGTTCGCTAACTAAAGTACAATCGTACAATCCGATAAAATTCGATACTTTCAACCGTCAATAAATACTTACGGACAATTCGCTATCGATTCAATTACATACAATCTCAATTTTTGAGTCAATTCAACAATATAAGGCGATTTAATCGCGATACATTGACAACACGACCTCAAGGACTATTCCGTGTCTCTCGGCAACACGTCCCTAACGTGAACGCGGTACAATAAAATTCGGAGATCTAACCCTCAACATTGCCGAGAGAACTTATCATTCAAACACATTCATATTCAGTTCGATCTACAACACGCGATAAATATGTATGTCCACGATGGGCAACATATTTACGCGAACACAGTCGAAATCGATTTACGCGAAAATCAAACAACAAAATCAGAAATCAACAAATTCGGAACTTCGTTAGCCCTTGAGGTAGTGGCATCTTGCCTGGATTCTTCTCTAATACGCGTTTTCCCGCGTAACACGACAGTTCCCACCGAGGACCTGACGGGGTAAAATCTATTGCCACGTCACAACACATATTGTATATCCATTCAGAATTTTCCATATAGGTTTTTATGTATTTACATATGTATATGGATGCTGCGACTGGTCAGTTCTCTTTTTCATTATGACTGACAGATCGTTTATATGGTTAGCTTCGAAACATTTATCAATTGACAGCTGACACGAAACATTAATAGATGCATTAGGTTACAATTTTTAATGACAAAATATCGATTTTTTTAAAACAAAAGTCAAACTCTATTTGTCATGATATCCTGTCGGAACACATGTTATACGTAAAACCTTTTTTTTTCAAAATAGACAACGTGCAGACAAATTTTAAAAAATTTGTTTTTATTGAAATATTTATGAAATTGCAGATCACTATGAAGTATGATGACCTCGCTTGTATCTAGAGAAATAAAAATCGTGCGAAATTCTGTCCTACATAACCATGATAATTTACGTGATATTAAATAAAAAATAAGAAATTATCACTTTCATGTGATGTCAATCCTCAAAAATAATAATAATTCAACTGAAGTAGACTGGATCGTATAAATCAAATGAATACTTAATCGTTAGGTGCTGCCTTTGTTCTTACTTAATATGTTCTAATTTTTCGATCGCATTCAATTACAATTATTTGATGATCTCAGAAAAACTTATTACAGAAATCTATGCGAAGGGCTGATTCGACGACGATTATTTGATTGGTAATTCGTTGGAGGTTAACGCCCGTCTGGATTAATTTCAATGGTAAAGCTACCCGTGTCAATATTTTCTGAACAAATAACGGCTGGTAATTGAAATCGTGTGTAGAAAGTATTCTTCGTCGTCTGCAAACTCACGCGCTTATCCGCCATTTGATACTCCACTATCGTTATTTCATCACTATCAATTCTTAGTATTGCGCAATGCTCAAATCTATTCAATATGAAATTTATGTTTTTACAAATATTTTGTTCCATCGAAATTAGAGCTAATTAAACTTCGTAACATATATGTATCGCTGATTAATATTTTTCCCTCTGCTACGAATTTTTTGCCTATTTTGCGTGATATCTTCATTTATTTTTTGTTCACATTCGTCTTGTTTCGCCTGCCATATTTATTATGAAATGCTGTAACATTCTGTGCGTACCATGTAAAATGGAATTCGTTGACGGTATCCGTAAACTTCGGTATTTACCTACTAATTAGTTTAATGCCGACGTTTGCTCTTCATTCT